GAAAAAATAGATTTTTCATATGTTTTACTATGTGATCGACAAAAATTACGTAGACTTTTGTCCAGTGAGTGTATGTCCCACGGGCTGATCTCTGATTCGCGGATTTAGGCGAAGAGCCATTTCTTTGAAATAAAACACATGACATCGCTCCATTATAACATGATGTGATTTCGCGGTTACGATGTGGTTTAATTATTTTCAGATTGAATTTGCTACATTCGCTTAAATTATATATTTATACGTTATTTTTTACATTAAATATATTAGATATTTTATTATAGCAAATATGATAAGTAGTACTAATAATAAATCCAATCAAAGCGAAACATTTGCTCCTTTATATGAAGTGCTTTTATATAAGAAGAAGGATATAATAGCAATTCAGAAAAAACTTGGTATTAACAGTAATATAAATCAAACAGCAGTGTCGGAGAGCAAGAAAGCGAAAAAACTTGATGATTCATATAAATTGTTGTTCGAATTGGTGGGGGATTTAATGCCTATACAGGGAAAACTTGGTATAAATATCAATCCCGTTTTAGAAGCAGAACTTAGAAGGGATAAAGCCTCTTCAGATAAATCAATTAGATTATTTGATTTGCTTTTATTCTTAGAAGACGATATAGCGACAATTCAGGAAAAAATCGGCATTGTTGGCTATAATAATCAAGAAATGGCAGAAGAAGCCGATAAAAATGCGAGAGTGTACATCCGAAAGTTTGAGAAGTTCCACGGTCCCTTAGAAGATAATCTAGGTGTGTTAATAAAGAAATTCGCTGATATGGAGGTAAAAAAATTTTGGTTTACTGGTGAGGGACTACCATTGTTTCCGAATGTCACTCTTCAACAATTACATGAGGTTTTCGTCAAAAAATCGGCTAGCGATAATCAGTGCCCTTGTCTAAAATCAAAAGTAGGTTCGGAGAACCATTGCTTTGCAATAAATTCTTTGTCGAAATTAGCTGGAGGCTGTCGAATATCCGATTACTCGCTCTATTTTTCTATAGCAGAATAATGCGCTTTGTGCGATATTATATTATGATGTATACTATAATCGAAAAAATAACCAATGTTTGGATAATTAATTTAGGCGTATATACTATGGATTTTCCAGCCGTTAACGGTTTTTTAATTATTCTGATTGGATGGATCACACCGGGAAATTAGCAGGCCTTGTAGTACATCCAAAAATGGATTTTCATTGTGGAACGATTATCCCAGAACGATGCATTACCAATAAACCAGCTATCTCTGATTCGCGGATTTAGGCTCGAAGAGCCATTTCTTTGAAATAAAACATATGACGTTGCTCCCTAAGACCCATTATATTTCGCAGTTATAATTATTTCCAGATTGAATTTTTATTAATTTGCTATAGTCACTCGATTTGTACATTTACGCGTTATTACTATGGCACTTGTATTACCTGAACTATTAACGAAAATTTTTAAATTCTTAGCTGAAGATAAGGCGTTATATCCTGCCTTATTCGTTTCTAGACTCTGGTCTATGTGTTCCGGCTCAATTTTATGGCGTCGCATCGAATTGATAGGGGGTGGGGGTGCCTTTGGCGAGAAATATGAAATACAATTGAAAAAGTTTTTAAAGATAGTACGCAAAAATTCAAGACTAACTTATGGCTCAAGTGTACGTTATCTCAAAATTTCACACTATCATAAACTCTCAAATAAGGTACTTGGGAAATTTATCGAAATATTTCCAAATATAATCCATCTTGATTTTAAACGAAGTTATGGATACGATGATACAACATTATTCAAGATTTCTCGAGCATATCCTAACTTAATTCATCTTAATGTTTTTAACAACGGGGGGTTAACTGATTATTCTATTATCGAACTCGCAACTAGATGTTCTAAATTACAGTATTTGGAAATTAGTTGGGGCGGAAACATTACCGAC